TCCCTCACCACCTCCAAAAGCAACAACGACGTCAAGTGCTCGGCCTGCGAGGGCCTGGCCCTGACGCCCGACGCCAAGTACATGAAGCGCAGCTCGTGGTCCACGCTGACCGTGAGCCAGGCCCAGGAGGCCTGTCGCAAGAGCTCGCTGAACCTGGACAAGCCCCTGATGCCCCCGGAGACCAAGCCGTCCCTGCGGCCCTGCCGCTACCTCCAGGTACGGGGGCTCGGGCGCGGTCTTTGCAGCAAACTCGCACCGGGCGCAGGCTGGTGTGTCTGCCCGGGAGGCAGCCACACGTGCCCCTGTGAGCACTTCCATCACTGGCAGTGCCATTAGCAGAACTGGGCGTCTGATGATTTTCTTTAACGCAGGTCTGTCTGTTCACAATTGTGTACGCACACGCACGCACACACACACACACACACACACACGTGTGCGCGCCGGCAGACCACGGGGCTGCAGGCTGTGTGTCAGGTGAGAAGGACCCGCCCAGAACCAGGAGCCCCAGCGCCCAGGGCCCCTGAGTCACGGGCGTCGGAACCGGGGCAGATCATCGCTCAGCTCCGGCCGCCATCCTGGTCCGCTGTCCAAACCTGGTGGTTTTGGTTCCGAGAAAAGGTTGACACAGGAGGGTGTCTCCCAGGAGACAGGCGGTGGGCGGCTGGGACATCCCTGGCGTAGCAACGCGGGAGACGTAAGGTTCGAGTGTGGTTGGCGAACCCTGATGATCGGCAAACGGGAAATGCTCACCGGTTCTCAGATTCTTCACGGTCATCGCTAAAGAGGGCGCTCCCGTTCTGTCCGTCACATCATGGGAGTCTCCGAGATGGTGTCCCCGGCATCTGAGGCGTGCTGCGTGGGGGCGCCCCGCCTCCGACCCCCGAGTCTCCCTCCCACTGAAGCTCATCGGTCCCCCCCCTCCTCTCTGAACCCTCCCCTCTGCCCTCCTCCAGCCCCTCTCATGCTTTCATTACGGACAGCACTGGTCCCATAAGCAGGGGGTGGGAGTGACCTATCACACCCCACGCAGGCATCACGCAGCACCAGTACCAGCCAGGGAGCGGCCAGGACCCCCCCGCCCCCTCCCACTCAGGTTCCCCGAGATGAGACGGGGCCCACGCAGGCGAATCAATGCTCTGTACTTGTCTGCACGGAGCCTGGGGCGAGGGCTCTTCCTCTCCAAACGTAACTGCAGATCGGAAGGCGGAAGGTGCTGCAGGGGCAGCGGGCGCTGGGGGGTGGGGGG